TAGGACGCTTGATATCCAACCATCTACTTCTCCATGCAGAGGGCCCTTTTGTTTTTAGAAGAGCATTCAGATCGAGAAATACCTGCCTTAGAGCCTTCAGTAGCCCAACCCTACCTGCCTCATCCCTAAATCCCGATACTTAGTCTCTACTAGGTCTCACACCCCCAACTGCTAGGTTACAGAGTGGCACGACCCACCCGAGAAGACTCCCACCTGCTTCACACTCCATCACAAGCCACCAAAACACCCATGAAATAGAGTAAGGTCTATCACATCCAAAAAATACATTCCAGACACGCCGCTGGCACTAGAGGCACAGCATGGCCTCGTAGTGACAGCCCCGACCACGGGCAAGTGGTCCCGGCCACTCTGGTAGCCTAGAAAAGCAATGAAAAGAAAAAGAAAAAAGGTATAAAAGAAGGGGTAACTGGGGCACAGTCTCGATTTCAGTTTTAAACCCAGTTCAGGCATCCCTCGAATGCAACACATCCCCACCCGACCCTAAAGCTGGGTTGTATACATTCACGATTTTCCTCAGTTTGACACAACATTCGCAAAATCCTGACTGAAACACATTTTCAAACTGAAACTGTGACAGCACCCTAGTTTTCCCAAAAAAGAAAGAACCTTCAGTCTTTTCATTTCTTCTCTCCTCCCCTGCCCCGGATCCTTCTATGCCCTGCTCCCTGTCCGTCTCTCTCTCTCTCTCCCTCTCTCTCTCTCTCACACACACACACACACACACACACACACACACATATACATATAAGAGATGGATATATAAATATATATATGTTCAGCCTCCTGATGAGTCGGTGAAACTCCGACGAAACAGTTTGTCACAGCCCCTCGTTTGTTGTCCTCTTCTCTCTCTCTGCCTACGGTTTACCGGGCAGTTCTATTTGTGACGATATATATAGAGAGAGAGAACAATGAATAAAAAAAAGGAATATAAATATAAACAATAAAGAGCAATAAGAAATGACAAAAAGTAAAATATTTATATATTTTTTCTGACCCATATAGACCATTTTTTGGTGCTTGCTTGTCTGTTAAAATTGAGCTTGGCTGCTGTCGTTCTGGTTTTTATATATACAAAAAAGAAATGAGGGAACCGTCACATATCGGGTAGCAGGGATCGTAGGGGGTACGAATTTTGTCTGGTCATACTCGTTATTTGCCGATGATGTGTGGGAACTCTGTTCCACCTACTGAGGTAAAAACAATATATTTTGCCAGTTACATGGGATTGAAATTTTTTTTCCCCCCTTGGCCTAGAACGTTTTCTGACCACGCCGCAAACCCCGCGACGATCTGCTATTTACGAACCTTGTTGTAATACACGGCTCGATTTACCGGATAAATAGGAACCCGATGGTCCACTCAAACCCTCTTCAGTTCGCTGCTGCAGATCATGCTATGTTACTGCAGCGGTCGAGAAACCATCACGGTCGCGGCATTTTACATCAAGCCGTTCTTGCCAGGTCTCATCGTTTTTAACCTGGTCTCTTCGGCAGTCCTGGTTACGCTTGTTCTGCGTCACAAGGAGGAGCGCTAGGAATTGTCCTCTGTCGTTTTTCTTTTTCTCCCTCGATACTATCGTTACATTATGCTCGAGCTCTGTAGCGTGGGTTGCCCCGTGTTCTTCATGGCGACAGGTGCTTCAAGCTCCGGAGCAACAGCGGTAACGACGTCTTCTCTCTCTCTCTCTCTCCCCTCCCCCCTTCCCCCTGTCTCTTATACACATCTAGATGTGTATAAGAGACAAGTGGAAGAACTTATCCTTATGTACGGATGCTACTTAACCATACTGTTGTATTATCGTTTGCGTTATCATGTGCGTTTCGCTGTGTTGTATTGCTAGGAGTTGCTGGCCTCTTCTCACTTGCAGTAGGAACGACGGATCAGCGGTTTCAAGTTTGCTATCTATATGGATCATAGTGCTTTTTGCCTCGGAATGGTCACTGTTTTCGCATTGTTTCTGGTGACACTTGCGTTCTTGAGCTTCCTCGACGCTTTGCATCAGCGGAACTCATTCCATTTCGTAGCTTGTGCTTCTAACTCATCTGCCCTCGTACGATTGCCTAGATGCCCCGCCAAGCTTTGAAGCACCATGCGTAGCCTCTACCGATCGGCTTCTACGTTCCTTACAGTTTTTTGCGTTTTGCTGTTGGGCATACTTTGCTCCATGATGGCTCGCTGGATTTCGTTTTCTTTGCCTTCGGCTTCCCCCCAATGCTTTCCACCCGATCGTTCCTACCCTGGTGACGGCTTCCACCCCACTCCCGCATTGCAAGTGGTTGCTATTTTTGCCATTTTTTCCATATTTCTCGCCTTTGTGCTCCTCTTGATCATCCTCTCCTTCATCTGTGCCGATCGCGTCCACATCAACGCTTTTTATCCGGCATAGTTTCCCTGCTTCTTCTCTGATCATCTTATTGCGAGTATGGCGGGATCCATGTTGTAGTCATTCGAATCGTATGCCGCCTCTCCATCCGAGTTCCTTGACCACTTATGCTTCGGAGTTTCTCTCTTTTTTTCGGCTTGGCGTCTGAAATGGAAGCAGAGAGTGCTATTTGTCCCGGAGTGGTGATGTGGAATTTTGTTTTGATAGTTGGGTTTGTAATTTAGCGGGATTTTTTAGCTTTCGGGAGTATAACGGGTGCGATCCTGCTGGAGATAGCCTCATCGTTCGGCAATATTGTGCTGATTTCTCTTGATAATGCAGTTTTAGTCGTAGATCTTCTCAGGGAGACTTGTGTTTACGCAGAGTTATAAATTGGAAACCTAGTCGTCATCTTCTCGGTGCTGACTCATCTGTGTAGTGGAAGCTGTTTTTTATTGCCCTTTCACTCAGTTCTGCTTTCAGTTTGATTCTTGTTTGGATCCTTCACGGTGTTTCATCCATATGCAAGTTGCGATCCTCTACAAGTGACTCGTAATTTTTTCCAAGCCTCGTATTTCCTGGCTTCTTCTCAAAGTCTTGATTGAAGCTTTGCCACAAGTTTGATCTTTGCTTTGCATCGTATTCATCTTAAATTATATCTCGCTCTCTCTGCAACTTCCTCCCCTTTCGCCCTCCTTCCCTTCCCCCTCACTTTCCCCTTTACCGCCTTTGTCCCTTTACCCTCGTCCCTTATCCTTAAGAGTGTCTGCCTCTGCTTGCATTCCACAGCAACACTGGTTACAAGGAGTCGATGGGGTCGTGCATACTATGGTCGGGGTGTGAATCGCATGGATCCTAGTAGTGCTTCGCTCGAAACCATAGTGTCCAAATCTTCAGTATATTTGATGTTGTACTTATTTGTATCGCGGCTTGCTGCACTGAGAAGTGCAGTGGACTCGTCTCAATGATCACACACACACACACACACACATATGCACGCACACACACACACACACACACACATGCACGCACACACACACAGACACACACACACACACACATGCACGCACACACACACACCAACACACAGGCACACACACACACACGTGTGCACCCACATGATGGCCACTTCATCTCTCTCTCTCTCTCTCTCTCACACACACACACACACACACACACACACACACACACACACACACACATACACACAGATGGTCATTTCTTGCCGCAGCGCCACAAAAACCACAAAAACCACGTGCTTCAAATCCAAATTTCTGGCGTGAGGGCATGATGGAAAGATGTATGCCACTCATGAGGGCATATCGCACAGGG